GAACAATGAATATTATTATCTTAATTATTAATCATTATTCATCTTAATAATATTTTTAAACACAAATTTGATCATGTTTTTTCCAATAAAATGAAAAACTATCAAGAATAATAATAAAGAGGATCTCGATAGAGTTTCAAGAGTAAAAGATATATTAAATACAAATAATATGTTAGGCTTATTGATATGTTAGCTAATTTGATTTATATAATGTAATTCTATTATTTTTCACTAAAGACTTTTTAAGAAATGAATGAATTAAAAAAATCTATAGATCATAAACCAGAGCAAAAATACTCATAATTATTATAAAGTATTTGATTTCTCGGTTGTAAAAATTCAAATTGATTAATAACATTCTAAATATTTTAAATCTTATTATCAAATAATTACCATTAATAAATCAAATTCCAATTTATTTCTAATGATATATTTATTAGATATATTACTGGAGAATTATAAGTTAAACAAAATTTATTTATTTTTAACATTGATTATTAATTGGTTACTGTACCTTTTTCATTAAATTGTTTTCACATATAGGCTAAAATAATTGTCTTATTAAATATTTTACAAAAAACGAAATTTTAATTTCAAGGAAATCTAATCGAAATAAATTCAAATAGGGCAGATCTAATCTGTGGAAAATAGATCGAAGACTACACCAGAAACTAATATGTCGTAAGATAGACCGAGGACTATACCTGTATTGTTCGAGACAGATTTTTAATCTCTGAAACCCTATTTAGTTGATAAGGGAGTTTTATATTCTCTGTGTGTTTTTGAAAAAAATGAATCATAAAACAGTCTAGATAGAGATGCTAAAGAAGAGACAAAAATGTATAGGCTGAAAATGAAGTTTTTTCAGCATATATAGAATGCCCTTTAATTAGCTGGGGGATAATTTGATAATCAGAAATAAGATTATAGGAGCTATAATACACACCGGTATTTGTCAACCCCCCAATTGATGCTGATGGCAAAATAGAAAATTGAAGAAGAAGGATTTTTTGGATATTCAAGAAAAATTTGAAATTTAATTCTATGTTATAATTGTTCACCTTTTTTGTAATTAATTTATTTAATTCGGAAAATCTAATTTTTATTATATTAAACCTAAATGATTAATATTAAATTCAAAATAAACTTTAAGTAATTAAAGTGATGAATTCTATTAGATAAAGTTGAGACATCTAAAATAGAGTAAAGAAAATAGTTTGAATATATCAATAAAAAAGGTTGGATTACATTTCAAAACGATCAGATCTGAAAGAAACCTTCGATTGATCAATGGTATAATCATATAAAAATAGTGTGACTTGTAAGTGAGATCAGATAACCCTTTAATTAAATTTATGATTAATTCTAGATTTATCTATTACCATAACCGAGAAATGTAGAACTTCTGAATGAAACAATATATGCTTTTTAAAAATTTGAAAATTGTCAACCAAATTAAATCAGAATCCTTCCTAAAACATGTATAAAAATCATTTTTTGATACTGATTTAGCCTTTTCATAAGGAAGAAGTTTAGCAAAATAAGCTAAATATATCTAAAGCATATTTTATGATCCACATTGAGAAGACTAGGTCAGAATTATTTTCATTTATTTAAGAAGTGCAAATTTCTTTCTATCTGCTATATATCATGATTGATTATGAGAATTTTTAAATATATTCTTTTGATAATAAATAACTCCATAAAACATAAAATTGACAAATTGTTTGGTAAAATTAATTGAAAATTAATGAAAATAAATGTTGCTGAATAATTTAGACTCAACTATAAATTATTTTTATAATCAACATTAATAACCTTTCAATAAATATTTGAATAATTATTCTTAAACCCTTTAATCCAATAAGAATATAGCTCTTTAAGACTTGGAAAGGGTAACCAAAATTTTTTGAAAAATCTATTTAAAATCTCATTTTCCACTTATAAAAGAGATAAAACCGTGATTAATAAGTATATACCTACTTGAAAAAATTCTATTTTTCCACTGATTATTTGAAACTTCAGTTGCTTTTAACGAGATTCAGAACCTGAAGCTAAAATAATATTTGCAATTTACAGAAAATAACAATCAAGTCCGAGATGGCATTGCTTAAGGTTATTTTAAAATGGTCTTAATTTGTTACAATTACAACTTTAATTTGAGAATGAACAACTAATTTTAACTTCTGCTAGAAATTATTGAGGAAACACTTAGTGGCTTATTTTTTATTAGAAATAATATTAGTTAATTTAAATAAATAATATGTTGTCATACAGATATTGCCAAAGAACTCTAGACAGGACCTACAACAAGTCAATAAATCTAGAACATCGTTTGAAAAGGGATCATCCCAGAGAAAATAGAACGGCTTTTGAGTACTCTATGAGGATAATAATCTCCAAAAGTTCAGAAGTTAAAATCCTCGAAATAAATTTTGTAGAGAACCTCAAAGCAAAATAGAAGGAATGGTTAATTGGCTGATAGGCTGTAGGCTTGACAAGAAGGCCCAATATGATTCAAAGGAATAATTAAAAGAACTTACGAAAAAAGAAGAAATCAAATGGGCAAAATTTAAAGTCCTGAAGGCCCCTTAAAGAATCAACCCAAAAATTGAAATCAAAAGGAAAAGAAGATGGATCACTATTTTAAATTGTTTTTTTTACAGTAGTTGTTATAAGCCATCAGAATAATCAGTATGTACAAATCGAAATCGGATTAGACGTAATTGATAGAGCTTGGAAACCTTCCCTTCCCATGTCATCAGTTTCCTTCATTAAAACCTCTTGCACCAGAAAAAACATAGCATATTCTTGTTGACTTAGACTTTGAACTTCATCAATTATGGATCAACAAACCTTAGCTTGAATTGCTATATATACTAAATGAAGAAGAGGATATGGATATATTGGAGTGGTTGGTGGAAAATTTTATTAATAGGCCATGAACAATGATCTTAAAAGAGGCTGTCTCCTAATCCAAGGAAAATTACAAACAGAGAAGTTATTTTAAGAACTGGAATAATAGCGCTGACCCTCAAAAATTTTCATATGGAATGGAATTCGACACTACACCTCCGATTATAATCCAAAGAGATTGATGTTCTGGATACATAAAGGGATCATAAAACTTCACCATAAATTCTGGGCTCAGCACCAATTTAAGAAGGTATGCCCCTTTACTGACTCCCTTCGAATTGATTAACATTTAAACTTACATAGCCAGTTGGGTAAAAATAAATAGCAAATAATCTTCTAGCAGGCAATTATAAACTTTCCATTCATATAATAATACCCCAATCCTGATTTTAAAACTGAAAGAAAATATTATTTAATTTAAAATTGAAAGGTTACACTTTTAGTTCTTTCAATAAGTTTACTATTAGAACAATGATGATATTAAGTTTCAATTATAAAATTTTTGTGTATTTATAAGACTAAACCACAAATTAAGACAAATTATACTAGAAATGGCACAAAGAATAACTTCAAGTGTAAGTATAATGCAAAAGGGAATGTAGAAATAAAAGAAAGTGTTAACTAAAGAGTACATTTTAATATAATTAAGCTCGAAAAAAGATTTAAAAATGTTATTAGATTAAGGAACATAATAAAAGTCATCAGCACTTATTTTTTAAATTCCAATAAATTCAATAATCCTGCCTCCATCCTGAATTTTAATCAGATTCACAATTCTATTAAATCATAATCCTTTTTCATTTTTAATAAGTCTAAATTTTTAATTACTTACTTCCAGTTTAATATTATTTTCCCTAAATATTTTAGATTAATTAACTAAATTCTTTCCTTATTTAAAATAAATAATATTAGTTCAACATAGAGTAAACTATATTATACTATTTCAGAATAGGTCTAAAGTACAAAGAAATAACATTGGCATATCACATGTCAACTATAAAATACACAAATTCAAATAATAATATTGTATTAAATGAAGCTGTGATTCTAATCTGGTACATCATAAATTCTAACAATAACAGATTGAGAAAAAAAAATACCACACTAGATAATTACCATAATTATATTAAAGGGCTGATGCTACAATTTATCAATTTACAGAATACATTAAGATAAAAGAGAACAATTGCATGATTACCGATTGTACTCAAAAAATAGGATGCATCAAAGAGCAATTGTTCAATTATAATCATATCAATTTCTCTTATACTTGTCGGAAAGTAAAAAAGGAGAATTGGATTGCAACATAATTTTTCTCTGTTCAATTTTTCATTAATTTATAAGAGAATACAGCTCAGGCCTATTTAAAATCACCATTGTATTTGATTACTTCTAATCTGCTAATTTGTTAATTCTTCTGATCCCAATTTTCGACAATCTAAAGCATTGTTATCTGATAATAATATACATGTATGTAGAGCTTTAAAGTGAAAAATGTGCAATATATGTAGAATGGCAAATATTTATGATAAAAAATTCATCATTTCTTAATAATTCTATTTATTTTGTTAATCTATTTAATTATTCATTTCTTTTATTTTCAGAATATTAATAGAATAAATAGTCTCCAATAACATTCAAAGAGTTAGCCTTACAATAAATTATTTTCCAATTCTTCATATAGCCAATTTATTTTTCTACTTATTAGAAATTTCAGGGTTGTCAAATAATATCGTGAGAATCTTTAAACAAACAATTATAGTAAAATGGGTGGGAATGTTATAATTTTGTTTAATGAATACCAAATAACAACATCTTTCTATTATCCGATTATTTTTTAAATATCTTCTATTTATAAATTATTTGGTTTCAATACTTGGAATATTAAATAAATTTCTAGATAGAATTGCATTAATAATAAAATAATTTTTAATTAGATTTGATTTTAGTTCAATAATTAAGAAATGATAATTACAAGCTTCTATTGAGAGATTCTGAGGTTTCCAAAAGCAGATAAGAAAAGAATTATTAATAATCTTTATGTACTACCATCAAAACAATAAAAGAATACAAATATTTCTTATATGTGTTGCACTATGTTGTTCAGGTTAAAGACTGAAATAAATCAGCGATGTAAAGGATATATAAGATTAATAGAATAACTAGGATTTCAGAATATGTATATTTTAGGTTATCCACCGAATTCACAAGATGATAAGAACATGTTTATAAAGATTTAAGTTAGACTAGGTAGTGATTGGAACTCAAAAGTAGAGTTGAAAATCTAGGAAACAATTTGAGAAAAGTAAATTTAATATTATCGATTTTCTTTGAAGGTTTTTCAATATATGAGTTTTAGCAGGATCTCAATATACTGTTCAATTTATTTCCATTTTGCTATTTTCTCAAACGTTGTAATGTAAGGAATTAATGATATTGAAATATTATCTTCTGAAAATTGATATAAATTTTTCATCAAGTTTGGATTTATCCTCCAATCACCTATGCTCATCTTAAGATATTAAGCTACTCTCTTATTAATTATATATTTAATACCATTACTGTTAATCTTCCCAATAATCCAAGTATGTGATGCTCCCTTTTATTTACCACTTCTAATGTTAAAACAAAATATTATACTAAAAAACAGTAAATGGAATAATCTCAAAATTAGAAATTTAGCAAAAAATGCAAAAAAGGGCTTATGTAGTTCAAATTTAACTGATCAAAGTAGGCTAATGAATTTGAACGATAATCCAACTATGCAGTCCTAATAAAAAGAAATCTATTTAAGTTCTGCTTTATTTAAACTGTGAGTTGAAACTTTTACAAAATTTGTGAGTTATCACTTTGTTGATACACAATTTAAGACAATAATAAAAATAAATTTCTAAAATATTTCACTAGATTATATTAAGAACAGAGTTGAGGGATAACAATGTAAAGAAGTTTAAATTAATTTAAACTCTAAAAGATATGTAATTATAATAGTAAAGAACTTTTGGGAATGGCAATCAGCAAAGTTTTGGATTAATTACTTTAAAGTAGTATGATTGTAAAAAGAAATTCCAAATCAGATTAATTCGAATGTTACATCCTATACATGCTGATAGGGAAGGAGTATCTCAATTGTTAGCATAATACAACTAATTCTAATAGCTGATGAAAAAGACAAGCTTTTCATTGATTGATTATATTTGAACACTGTCTCTGCTATATTTCAAAGGCAAATTTTAATCTTTTGAAGGTTTCATATATATTCTCAAAGTAGTTCACCTATACCATAAAAGTCGTTAAAATTTTGTTATTAGTTTATCTTCATATATCACAAGGGTGCTTGGGGTATGTTTGTAGAGTACAATAAATTTTATAATGATTTGCATGCACATCATTCATTTTGGATTATAATTTGGAGAGCCGCACATCCTTTGTTTGCTTAGTTTAACATATACTCACTATGGATCATTAAGGAAGAAGGGATTACAGATTTTTGTAGGTTTTACAGACCTTTTTGAGCTAATTAAAGATACAAATTTGTCAAAGATTGTTTGAGACTAATTCAAATATCAATTTATTAAATCTTTTGGTCTGTAATTTAATTCCAACATCCTGTGGTTTTGTTCAAAAGAGATAAGTATTTAATATTAAGCAAAAGACTAAGACCTCAGTGGTTATACTAAAAAATATAGTAATAAGAAACTGATGACCTTTGGTTTATGATATTTTACCAATCCTAAATTATATCTCCAACAATAGGTTGCTTTTAATGCAAATTCAATATAATATTCTGTTCTAAGAAGCAAGAAACTAAGGAATTAAAGCTCTGATAAACTAGCATCTTGCAAGCCTATTCCTCTTAAAGTTGTTGAATTTAATGGCAACCAAGTCGAGTGTAATTGATTCTACTTTCAACTGATGCCACATATGTTAATATCTAATAGGATAAGAGGAAGAAAGCCTAAGTTTCAGGTTTCGATTGAGTAGTGTCTTTAGAGAGGGATGATAAATTAAAAAAAATTTTAATGAAATTTTGAATTTCAAATTTGATGAGAATTTTGCTGATAGATTTAGATTCCAAAAACGAAATGCTAAACTAATCTTAAATCATAGAAGGAATTCATTGATATTATTATAAGTAAATATCCCAATTTAGTACAAGAAGAGAGATGATATTGATGAAAATCATGATAAATTCAATAGTAATTCACAATTCATTACCACTCAAATATCTCATTATCATATTATTTGGGACCATATTGATTTAAATTAAAAATGATCCTATTATAGATGGAAGCTAGGATGAACTATAAAACAAAAATTATGATGTACTGTAGTTACTCACTAATATTAGAATAGAGTATTTGAATTATAGCCGTTGATAGTATATCAAATTCAATAAAAAGAAATAAATAAATTTAAGTTAACAAAATTAAACAAAGATAACTTTTAATACAATTAAGTACTTATTAAATTTAAATTCTCATAGGTAATTGGTGTATTGTATTAATTGGATTGATTATATATAATTTGGTTACGAAATACAACTTAATAGAGTTTGATTAAGGTTTTAAAAAACAGATACAGTTTAACAAAGGTCCTCTAGTGAACGTGAAACAAAGCTAAAAGATGTATAAAAGAACTGCACGGCATATAAAAATTAGATATTACATCTGATTATATCAAACAAATATCAAGAGTTCTGAGACAAATGAATCTATATATTGCAAGGATAAATATTTAAGATGGTTGGGATGGATTAAGCATCCATCGTAAAA